CCCACGTCTGGACGCTGGCCTGGGGTGCCCACTTACCCACGTGTGGACGCTGGCCTGGGGTGCCCACTTACCCACGTCTGGACGCTGGCCTGGGGCGCATATGCTTTTGGGCAAATACAGCCTGTGTCAGTATACACGGCACACACACTCACACCCCACACTCTAGCTTATACGCACACATCCACGCAGGCTCTTGGAGGACCTGTGGTCTGCAGGCCTACCAAAGGGGTGCGCCTGGCCTTTCTGGCGTTGTGGGGGGCCTGGCGTGGAGCCTGGCAGTGGGGGTGTTGAGCACCTGTCTCCCTCCAGCAGCTGACTGTTCTTTCCACTCCCAGAAACTCGCATTTTCCACAGCTGCTTCCCAGGCCGGGGCCAGGCTGTGGGTGGACGTGCTGGCCTCTCTCCTCATCAGGCTGTACCTCTCCTCCTGGCCCACCCCAGGCCAGCCAGGCGAGGCTGGGGACCCTCGAGGTCTGAGGGAGTGCCTTTGCGGGGGCTGCCCAGGTGCCTGGGCCGCAGCCCTGTGACCCCTGACACGTGCTGGCCTTCGCCTCTCCTTCAAGGAGACCCGTCTGGTCATCTCACTTGGAAAGAGTGACGTCTGTGGTCTTGAGAGCTGCCACTCACCAGGTCCCTTGGCACCTGCACTGGGTGCTCACACTGTGTGACTGGGGAGCACTCTGCACCCCTTTACAGAGGAGAGCACTGGCTGGGCAGTGGCTGCGGGCCCAGAGCTGACTCGGTCGGTGTTCTCTCCGCGGCCCTCCCTTCCTCGTGGTTGGTGGGGAGGCAGGGAGCTGGCTGCCGTGGGGGGATGGGAAGTCAGGAGTGGGCAGGGCCCAGCATTCAGGTGCCCGATGTGCCAGGCAGTCTGCAGATATCAGGAAATGAGGGGCCAGGACCTCAGCCCCAGGGTACCCCGCTCCTGTGGGGCAGAGGGGAGACCCAAGAGCCTGGATCCAGCCTGGAGGAGCTAGCAAGTGGCACACAGGAGCCCCCTCGCTGCCCACAGCCTAGGTGGTGGGTCCGGCTGAGTGACCTGGCCAAGCTGCCCCCCGGCCTCAGTCCAGCCGTTACAGACTCCACCTGAGCCCAGAGGGACCACGGGGCTGAGTGCTCAGTCACCGTCGGAGGCTGTGTCGGACCCGTGGTCCGTGTGCGAGGCCCTGAGGGCAGGTGGCTGGCGTGCCCTTTGTGCCCATTGTCCCTGTGGCACCTGTGTGCTTGTGGGCCGTGCGTGGGGGAGGCTGATAGGACCTGCGCCTATGATGCTCCCCTTCCTCCTCCTGTCCTGGCAGGAAGCTCCAGCGGGACTCTCTCCTGCCCCCTGCCCTACCCCTGCCCCCAGGCCTGGTAGGAACAGAGAAGCGGGGCAGCACTTGGTGTTCCAGGACTGCCTGTGGCCAGCCTGCCATGCTCAGGGCCAGTGTGCCAGGCCTGGGTGGGTCTGGGGTGTGTGGAGAGGGGGCTGTGTCACAGAAGGTCAATGGGCATGTGGAGCAGAGCTAAGGCAGCAGGCTGACCTCTGGCTCAAGACCTGTTTGCAGTGATGGGAATATGGCTTGAGGGCAGGACAGGACCCCTGGGGCTTGACCAGGTGGGCAAGACCCTGCAGCCCCTGAACGCCAGCATGCCCAGAGGGCCAGGTGTGGGCATGTGCCTGTACCCACCCCACCCCGTGGTCTCCACAGGATGACGATGAGAGAGAAGTGGCCCCTGGCACCGCAGTGAGCTCCCCGGATGCCCAGGCACCAGCCCCTAAGCGGAGGTCCAGGCTGGCAGCCCGCTTCCGGGTCACAGCCCACTGGCTGCTAGTGGCTGCAGCACGGTTCCTGGCCATCGTGCTGCTGGCTTTAGCAGGTACCCCAGGGTGTCCATGGTGGCGGGTGGGGAGGCAGGTACCCTGGAGCAGGGCCCAGCCTAGCAGGACCAGGTGTGAGTGCCCTGCCTCCCTGTAGGTATCGCCCAGCCCTCGGCCCTCTCCAGTGTCTACCTGCTGGTCTTCCTGGCCATCTGCACCTGGTGGGCCTGCCACTTCCCCATCAGTGCCCGCGGCTTCAACGTGGTCTGCGTGCTGGTGGGCTGCTTTGGCGCTGGCCACCTCCTCTGTCTCTACTGCTACCAGGCACCCTACGCCCAGCAGCTGCTCCCGCCCTCCAGCGTCTGGGCCCGGTGAGCCCCCGCCCCCCCACCTGCTGTGCCGTGTGCTGCATCTGTGTGTGGATGCCAGTGACCCCCTTTCTGTGGCAGGGTGCTGGGCCTCAAGGACCTGGTGCGGCCAGTCAACTGCTCTAGCCCCAACACGCTGGAGCTGCACACGGGCCACGACTGGCCAGTGTACGTGAGCCCCGGACTGCTGCTGCTGCTCTACGGCGCCGTGACCTCCATGCTCAAGCTGCGCAGGCACCCCCGCCCCGCCCAGGTGAGCCCCCCCACCAGATGAGTCCCCACTCCACCCAGG